AATGACATTACAAAAACAGTGTGCTGATAATTACAAAAAAATAATTTCTTTTTTTTCTTTTCTTTTCTTTTCAATTTCATCTAAACATTCCACGTTTCAAACTAGATATAATGTCATAAACATACACTGTTTAGAGAAGAATGACAAAAAAGAAAGAAAACATTATTATTTTCTTTCGACGTATATCTAACTACCTTTTTTTAAGACAGCATTTCCATAATTAACATCAGCTTTCGGAAGAAGTTAACGTACAATGAACTAGTTTATCTTCTCATAAATAACATTCTGTGTATTTTCATAAGAAATACTTCCGATAAATACTCCTTTACAAACCATACTATTAAGGTAGAATATTTCTCCAAGAGATACTACTTTTAAAGCAAACTTTTCTGCCCCCGAATAATTGCTCCGGAACGAATTTCATTTGAACCACACTTTCTCATGTACGAAACTTCGAGAATAATTCGTCAGCAGTATTTTTAATACGACGTTCTGGCATGCATTCATCTTCTACTTATAACGAGTCTAGCATTCTGGAATACATTGTTTGACTTTTCACTTTTCCTAAACTCATGATGCGTCATGATTTCAGTCGTATGGTGACATCGAAAGCATCTACCGAAATCAATATATCTTTCCACTTACACATAACTTCGATACCAAACACATATCGAGTGTTAACAATGAACATGAAAGAAAACCGTTCACTAACCACTGACAAGAAGCTATCTTGAGTCATACCGACTGAGTACTAACAAGCGGCGCACAATACTTCACTATGCTGTAAACCATTTACCACAAAAAATTGTCATTTGGGCACATACTACTACGCTGCACAATTCTTTTACGCATAAATAGCCTAGGATCTCTTTCATTGATCAAACCTTTTTCTACCAATTACAGCTAATTGAAAATTCTGTAACTCACATTTAAAGAGTTTCTATCGGAACTTCAACCGTGACCACTTCTTTTCAATTTAGAACTTTCCAAAACATTACCGTACATTATACACCATCTAAAATCCTCGAAATATTCATATCGATATGCACAAGTTCTCGAACGCAGTTCGATGGACATCTATTTCACTACGCTCATCCTATATAACACCGACTCACTAATATATCTCTTCATCTCTGCCATATATTTACCACCAATTCTTCATCTAGACACTCACCACACTCAGTCTCTGGCACCAGCAAATCGGACATGTTATAGCACAATCTTTAGCTAATGCATTAAAATATAACAAAGTAATTCTCATTCTCTCTTTATCTATACAATGCCTAGACTTCCATTTCTCCATGTATAGACACTCACCGAACTATATCTCGGAGGTAATCCAATCGGAGATAGTGGAGCACAATCTTTGGGTAATGCATTACTGCACAACAAAGTAATTTCAATTCTCCCTTTATCAATACCATGTCTTTAACTTCATTTTTTCTTATAGGCACTCACCAAACTCGATCTTTGGGACTCTCAACTTGGACATGTTATAGCACAATCTTTGGCTATCGCGTTACAATATAACACAGTAATCCTTATTCTCTCTTTATCCATGCCATGTTTTCACTTTCACTTTTTTATCTAGACACTGACCACATTAAATCTCTGGAACAATCAAATCGGGGATGTTGGAGCACAATCTTTGGCTAATACATTACAGCATAACAGAGTAATTAGAATTCTCCATTTATCAATACAATGTCTTTAACTTCATTTTTTCCTATAGACGCTCACCACACTCGAGCTCGGGCACAATCAAATCAGCCATGTTGGAGCACAATCTTTTGGTGATGCATTACAACATAACACAGTAATTTCTATTATCTCTCCATTTACACCGTGTTTTTAATTCCACTTTTTCATTTAGTCACTCACTACACTCGGTCTCGAAGGGAACCGAATCGGAAATATTGGAGCACAATTTTTGGGTGACGCATTACGACACAACAAAGTATTTCTCATTCTCTCTTTATCCTTATCATGTTTTTACCTCCACTTTTTCATCTAGTCACTCACCACACTTAATTTCCAAGAGAACCAAATCAGAGATGGTGGAGCACAATCTTTGGGTGATACACTACGATGCAATACAGTAACTATCTTTCTCTTTTCCTCTATGACATATCTGTACCTCCATTTTTTCATCTAGACACTCATCACTCTACATATTGGGAGTAATCAAATCGGATATGTTGGAGCACAATCTTTGAGTAATGCATTGCAGTATTATACAGTGATAACAATTCTCCTGTTATCAATACCATGTCTTTACCTCCATTTTCTCTTACAGACGCTCACCACACTTAGTCTTTGGGTCAATCAAATCGGAGATATTGGAGCGCAATCTTTTGGTGATGCATTACAACATAACACAGTAACTCTTATTCTCTTTGTTATCTATATAATGTTTTTACCTCGACTTTTCATCTAGTCACTAACCACACTAGATCTCCGATTTAATAAAATTGGACATATTGGAGCACAATCTGTGGGTGATGCATTACGACATAACACAGTAACTCTCTTTCTCTCATTATCCATACCATGTCTTTACCTTTAAGTTCTCATCTAGACACTGATCATACTCAGTCTTCAACATAATCAAATCGGAGATGTTGGAGCACAATCTTTAGGTGCTGCATTACAACACAATACAGTAACTCTTTTCTCTCATTATCCATACCATGTCTTTACCTTCAAGTTCTCATCTAGACACTGATCATACTCAGTCTTCAACATAATCAAATCGGAGATGTTGGAGCACAATCTTTGGGTGCTGCGTTACAGCACAACACAGTAGCTCTCGTTCTCGTTTTCTCCTTGGCATCTCTTCACCTCCATATTTTCATCTAGACACTCACCGCACTTAATCTCCAAGAGAATCAAATCGGACATGTCGGAGCACAATCTTTGGGCGTTGCATTGAAATACAACCGAGTAACTCTCTTTCTCTTTTTCTCTATGACATGTTCTTACTTCTATTTTTTCATCTAGGCACTAACCACACTGAATCTCGGATTTAATAAAATTGGAGATATTGGAGCACAATATTTGGGTGATGCGTTACAACACAATAGAGTAATCCTCATTCGCTCCTTATTCATACCATATTTTTAGCTCGACTTTTCATCTAGTCACTCATCATACTCGATCTTGAGGAGAACCAAATCGGAGATATTGGAGGACAATCTTTGGGTGATGCATTACAACATAACAGAGTAACTCTTCTTCTCGCTTCGTCTATACGATGTGTTTATCCTTGCTTTTTCATCTAGGCACTGACTGTACTCAATCTTGGGTTCAACCGAATCGGAGATATTGGAGGACAATCTTTAGCTGATGCATTACAACACAACACAGTAACTCTCTTTCTCTATCCGATGTCTGAATTTTTACGTTTCTATATAGACACTCACCGAACTAAAAGTCTGGTTTAGTGAGATCGAAAACGATGTGATGCATGCGATCGAAGAATTGCTTGGACGGAATCGAAAAGGAAGAAAACCTGGAGTAGCACTATTAAATGTATTTGAATGGTGAAGAAGGCGCTTGCGTGAATCATGCGAGTCATTTTTTTGTGTTATGATTTTTTTGGCGAAAACAAGGAATAAAATTGTTTTTTTTGAAATGGAATATGTATTGTGTTATTAATGTTTGTTTAACTTTTTGGTATATGACATGGGGAATGATGGTGCTCATAAGAAAATTAAGCTTTTGCAGAACTGTGTGAGGATTTGTGCACTTCGTGTAAAACCAAGCTGAAGTTTTCTATAACAATATTATAACTTTAAAAGGCTCTTTTCCGTGGGGCTGAGCCAAAGAAAGTTTTTGTATGACAGCAGGTGTACTTTGAAAGATCGTGTCAGGTAACGACGAAGGAAAAAAGATTTCCTGTTATGATCGTAGAGCTCGGTGACGTTCTTTTTCAATGATGATGGAGCATAAATTTCTGTCCGGTGATATTGAAGCAAGGATGATTGCTTTAGTATCGCTAAATTTCTCAAAATTTTGTTGTTGAGTGGCTGAACCATCAAGAATTTATCCACAGAAAAAAAGAAGTTCAGTATGAAACTATCTTGTAACTACGGAAACTCTTTCATTCAAGTGATTTTTTATATGTTCAATACTAACATTGTATTTAGTTATGTTATTTTTTTCAGTTAATTTGATGCTATAATATTAATATTAGGTATGACTGTATTTCATTGCAACCGAAAGGTGATATATTTGCTGTTCATTAAGTTTAACTATAGAAATCTCCTACTTTGAAGTCTCATTCTTCTTCTTTAGATAACTTTAGTTGTTTGCCCGTGGCTAATTTGTTAAATAAGACATATAAATATTTAACATTAGATTCATCAACCACTATTTCTACTGAAACTGTGTCTCTTGCGACGGTAAATAAAGACACAGAACCTTGCTGCTACATGAAGTCTATGCAATATTTTCAGATTTTGTTTCTTCTGAGAGGAAAATTTATGATAAGGTCCGAGTCAAAAATGAAAAGATAGTGGTATGAAGAATATATTACTATCATGAAACATGACTCCACTTCTATTCTGACCCTTAGATTATCAAGAATGTGACAGTTAATTTTAAATCTCTTCTAATTAAAAATAAAAATTGAAATAGTATTCATTAGAAATATACACAAATACGCACACACTGAATATTGTTTCTGTGTCCTACTAAGGATACACCAGATCGAGTATTCGATCTAAGATGTTTTTTAACAAACAATCTCAACTGACACTATACAACTTCATAAAGTTTTGCATAATTCTGCTAAAAAGTACAAGTCCATTGACAAGTGCCATCAACATTAGTCTCCAAAGAATATGAATTCAAATGAATATACATGACGCTAGAAGGATATACGCGATCTCTCAGTTGATAAAGAAAATATCCTGTCATAATGATGTTCAGGAGTTTTAAGATTAGAATATGTATGTACAGTAAAACCTCCCTAAGATGAACACTAATGGGACCGCTTGAAAAGTGTTCATTAAAGGAGGTGTTCATCTTACAGAGGTTTCATATTGAATACAGGTTTAGATATACACCAAATAATATTAGTATGGACAAATGATAGCTATGCATCTTCATGTTAAAATCTATTACTATTAATTCTAAAACACTATTTTTTTTCAATTATTACACATATTTATTCAATTATCAAGTGAAAAATAAAAAAAAACATTTTTTTATCTTTAAAATATTAAAGATCTATTTCGTTTTAAACAAAAGCTAGTAAAAGAAAGCATTTTTGTCTATTATTCACATCTATTTATTTTTTCTAAGAAAAGTCGGTAATTGAGATACTACCGACCGAAATTTTGTACTTCGCAGCAATTGTACGATATGAAGCGTTATTTTCATTTTCACTAATTAATTGCATTTTTATAGACAAAGTTAACGTGTGTGTTCTGTTTCATTTTACAATCGAAGATAGAATGCATGTTGCACTGTCACATAAAATCGATTAACTCATCGCTGATTAATCACATTGTTTTGTTTGATCCATATATACGACAGAGCTTGTTATGATGAGTTGACCGTCAAAAACTGATTTATCATTTCCTTAATATGAGCAGCATATTTTTTCAGTTCTGTATTTCATAGAAGAACGTACAGTTAATCACTATATGTTCATTATATAGAGGTTTTCTTTTACAGAAGGGACTAAAAAAAAGCGTTCATTGTTCAGAGGTCGGAGGTGTTCATCTTGCGGAGGTCTATTTACAGCAAAAATCGATCGGGGGGACCAAAAAATGTGTTCAAACCAGAGGTGTTCATTATAGAGAGGTGTTCATTTTGGGAGGTTTTACTGTATTTATTTCTGTGAATAATCGGTGCGGGTGTGAATATGGATTAGAATGGTAGTCTAAAATACGTTCACACCCACACCTAAAATGGTCTAGACAAAGATTCAATTCGTGGACTTTTCTCTTCTATAAAACCATATAGGTAAATATAATATTTTCTAATAAATCGTAAATTTTGTTTCCTATTTTAAAGGAAAAAAGATCTTCATTTAAGTTGTATTAATAATCAATGTAGATATTCACGTTTAATTGAAAGTAATTTTTATTCAGTTCGTTATATTTATATTGGAAATGATTACAGGTCCGTATTATCGACAATAGTCAGTGCTGAGTCAATTTCTATTCCAGATGTAATTCAACTTACTTTTGACGAATATGCTCGAATGTATGATGATTTACTTCAATATCTGTCAAACAGTTCTATTCATTTATCTCAAATAACTAAAATGGCATTTACTAAACGGAATATATCATGTGATCCTATAATTACAATATTACAAATTAAAACTTGAGAGTTTATTTTGTAATCAAAAATATTTATCTTCTATAGAATCTAATGAATATTTTCAATGTTTATCAAAGAAAAACAAGATTCAAGATATAACAATAAAACTATGTACATTTAAAGATATTCGATTCTTAATAAAGCTTTGTTGTCGATTAGAATATCTTCATATAAATGTATCGGACAAGGATTCTTAACCAATTATTAGTTATATATTATATAAAAAAGAAAATAATCCTTTTTTACATTTATTAAATATTCAAAGTTCAAGTGATCTATGGGATGAGAAAATTATTAACTTAATAGCAAGTGTTCGATAATTAAATGAAGTTTCTTATGATATGATTGATTTTTATCGTTGTTTTTTATGGTGGTAATTAAGATTTTATCATGATTATTCATTTTTATTGTTTTACTTATCAAATTATTAAATCATGTAGGTGGAATCAAAGAGGAAATGGTACCTGCTGTTTTCCTCTTAGTTAGTATTCTTTGAAGGGACAAAATTTTTGTTCTATTCAATAAATTTACACATGAAAATCATCTACGTAAGAAGTAAAAGAAAGAATATATATCTTTATTATTCATTTAATGACTGTTTAATCGACATGATATTCAGAAGAAAATCTTTAAATCATAAAATTGGAAAAAAGATTTCTTTTACAGATTGAAACCATGAAGAAAATTCAATAATATGATACAATTGTTGTCATATTTTGCCCATCGTGCAATGCAGTACTTTTTATTATTTTTCTCGAAAATCTTCTACAAAATCAGAAAGTTCATTTAATAAATCTTTTGTTGTAGTTTCATTTTTATTAAAGCGATTCTATAATATGCAGCTGTGCTTCGATGTTCATTATTTTATTTCCTGAGTTAATTGAGGGTGAGTGTGTGAGATTCATGTTTAAATATGCTATCAAAGCAGATAAAATTTTCGAAAAACGCATGTAAACTGCCAGAAGAGTCATTTTTGAAGGGTTGTGAGGCGTGTTAAAAAATATGGGCGCTATTAATCTTGATTGTCTTATTGTGAAAACGGTTAAACCTTTTATAGCAGTCATAATTAGAGAAACAAACAGCAAAATATTTCATTTCTATATCTTGTTAGCGCTCAGCTTTTGAAGAGTATGATGTTCAAACTAGAGATAGCGTGAAGGCATCCGATATAGTGACATTCATCATATTTTATCATATATGAAAGAACTCCGTGTTCACCTTTAGAATATAATTAGTAGGAACTTTTGAAGAGGAGTGATAGTACATGTGCACAAGACTGATATGTCATGTCTCAGATATTTCGGTGTGGGAAATATGATGATAATTGTGAACCATCATTCTAAATCTTTACTTCATCCTCACTCTCAAGATGATATGCAAAGCTCCCGCCTTTATCTCTTGTGGGAAAATAATTAAACCACAATTTATTTGAAATAATTAGTACTTAATTAACTATAGACAGTGTACGAACAAAACACATTTTTTTTACCACCATAAGCACGATTCATCCTGTCGACGTTTGATATCATAATTATCAAGTAATTTTTCATTATCGATCATTGTCTTCAATTTTTTGATCATCGCATGATAATCAGTGAAAACCAGTGAGAAAAGATGACTGTTTTTAATTCTGTTTGATAACAAAGTTCGTACAAATGATATGAGAGCATCCCCTCTGTTCTGAATTCGAAGACGTTCCATTCGAGGAAAAAGCTTATTGATCAGTTGACCAGCGGTCGATGCAAGTTCATTAGTTATTATTACATTTCGCACATTATTATTGCATACCAAGTCAGCCGTATTAGTTTGTTGATCTGATGATACTTCCATTTCACATGATAACCGTACATCAAGAATCAATTTTTGAACATTAGGCATACGATTAAGAAGTTTAACAAAATTGTTCAACAATTCATTATTAAATGAAATCTTTAAATAAGTAATAGTTGTCAAAATAAAAATATAACTTAGATTATCAATGAATGAGTCAATATTGATCGTATCATAATTATCGGTAAGTTCCAATTCAGTTACACGAGGAAATTGAAGGGGAAAATTGGCAACAATATTTCGATTTTTTATACTAATGCGTGGTCCAAAAGATAAATTGAAGAGTGGGTCTCGGTACGAACATATTTTATTATCGAAATATTCACCGAATTGACAAAACTGTCGCCTAAAAGAAAAAAATCATTATTTCACAATAATAAATATATTTTCTCGCATTGGTTGTACCGGCGCATTTGAGTTGAATAGAATGCTAAACCTACTTCTGCTGGATAGAAATGATGACAATGGCAATGTCTATGGGCAAAAAACCATTGTCGTTCGATCCAAAATGGCGAAGAAAATTCATCAAGTAATGCTCGACAGCGACTATTTCCATGAGCATCTTTAGTTAATGGACCATGGTAATCTAACAAAAACGTACGCAAACGTGGCATATAACGTACAATTAATTGTTGCCATTGATAAGCATTTGACAGGGCAGTTTTATGAATAATTGAAATGCGTAAGAATTCGAGTTCAGAACCAACGATTGCAATGAATGATGCGAATTCATCAAAGGATAAACGCCAATAACATAGAGAAATACTAGTCAGACTGCGTGGCAGTATAAATTGTTCTAGTGGTATGTATCTACGAAACAAAATACACCCAACTGACAAACGACGAAGTGTAGGTGTATATGATAGAAGATTGAAAATATTTGGAAGATGAGGTGGACTATCAACAGCGAGATACTCAAGAGTCATACTTCGTTGATTGTCGTTCGTAGCGATGGGAAACGGAAATCTAGTACTCCATTTTGAACACAAAATGTTGGCATATCGTAAAACAGGTAGACGAAATATTGATTGAAAAATCATAAATAGTTCATCACATTCGAAACAAAAGATTTTGAGAGAGAAGAGTCGAGGTAATTGGGCTAAACTAATAAGAATACCAACACTCTGCCTCACACTAAGATTCTTGAGTATCAACGATTCGAGACGATTGAATGATGTGTCAACAGGAAATGATGTAAAGAAATTTTTGATGAAAAATGTCTCTGATAATTGTAATGAAATAATTTGATTCATATATGGACGGATAATATTGTTCGAACGTCTGTTAAAATTCGATTTAGACATAAATGGAATATTTAGTTTGAGAAAGAAACAAGAACTAGTAATGAGATGTTGGATACGGTTATTAAGTTCAGAAAAAGCTTCAAATATATGATAACCATCAAGAAAATCGAAAATATCGAGTAAAAGTTCATTTGAAAGATCTTCAAAATGCGTTGCTAGACGATGGCAAAATACAGTTTTACAATTTCGTTTAGGTGCATTCAAGCAGTGATTGGAGTTGACTCTTGAAATATTCATTTAGAAGAGAATGTATTTTATTTTTTTAAACTTACCTTTTCATCTTCACCTTTAGTTATTCAACTAAATGATTATTGTCAAACATGATGATGAATTTATAATATTACGTTAAAACAAAAAGCATTTTTCTAGGCGACTAAATCAGGCAACACTATGGACGAGAAAAATAATCTGTACGCCGTCGCAAGATGTTAGTTCAAAGTTCAATGATATGGAAATAGAAATGTTTTCGATCGGTCAGTAAATATGTTAATAAACGGAGCTTGTGAGTGAATGAGAAATGAGCGAATATATGTATACCTACAGTTCACATTTTGTTTTAAGCGAACGTTTAATACTATCAATACCGATTTTGTTCTTTGAAGCTATCGTATTTACATAAAGTTTCTCTAAACTTGGCATAAGATAAAGAATTTCCTTTCATCGATTAGTATTCAAATAAGAATAATCTCTTAATGTAATCAATATCTATGAGATTATTAGAAGTATATGCTGAAGAAGATACTCAAAATATTTCCAATCGACTATATATATATTTAAAGTTCCAAAAATGTCTTCATACCACTCACCACGCGACGGTGAATTATCTCAAGTCACTTCATCCTTCTATGTTCTTCGTAAAACCAAAGTATTAAGACGAATTCTTGAGGGTGGGGGTAGCGGATTTAAAATAAAGATAATCACACCTACCACACTTACACCAGCACTCTTCGTCAACCATGAACATATAATGATCTTATCTTTTTTCCTCGATTCATTCATCTGACTCTGTTTTATTAAAATAAATTCTGTACCATCGTAAAAAATACGTATATTTGATCTTATAATCAAATAACAAATAGAGTTATTCAATCCCTGCTGATTATAATCGAGAATACAATATTCATCTATATTATGTACAACTTTATATCGATAAAACAATCTTAACAAAAACCTTATGTATAGTTGTTATAACAATTCTATCATTCTGTAGTTGACATCATTCTTTTTTGCTTTTTTTCTTCTAGTATGTAATTGCAAAATTATGTGAAACCAATGACAAAACCAACATATACTCATTTGATCGAAAGAAAAAAGAACAACTGATAAGTCTACACAGCACGCATTTCATCAACAGTGTGCAATGACAAATCAAACATTCACCAGCTTCCTCACGTTACCGGTAGAACTAGTTTACCGAATTATGGATCATCAATCGGATCTCACAATCATATGCTCCATGACAAATGTTTGTCAACGATTCAACAAGATCGTGGACAGTTATCATAGATATCAGGTAAACTTTTTTCTATCATAAAGCTCTAGTTTTTATCTATTATATTCCAATATAACATACATGAACAAACTCTTTGTCACACAAAATATTTCATCGACTATCCTTCTACCCCTCACAAATTCATTTCTTATATAATGACATTACAAAAACAGTGTGCTGATAATTACAAAAAAATAATTT